CCTGCACATTTGGGGACAAGTGTCAGCAAAATGGCTGGGAGCTTCCTGCCGAAACCCGAGGGCATGGCAGGTTTACTGAGGCCCTTCATTAAGATGAGTTATGAACCTGCGGGTCTCTCTGGCTCCATTTGGCCCAGGCTGGGAGGTGGAGGCCCAGCCAGCCCCCTGCCTGTACCAGCGTGAAACCCTCTTCCTCTCCTCCCCTCGCGGACTCCTTTCTACCCTGCGGTGCACCCTTTGCCCTGGTTTAATGAAAGAGAAAGGCATCTACCCATACAGGGAGTGCTCAGTGCTAGAGGTGGAGTTCAGCCTGAGAAAATTGTTTTCTTGTAAGTGGCAGGCACCTGGCCGACAAGGCTTGGCCCGGGCCCTCGGTGACTTGTGCAGAGCCTTCGTGTCTGTCCAGTCCTCCCCCACCTCCCTGGGCCATTTCCAAGTCCACACAGTCTGCAGGGGAGGGAGCAAGTGGGGTGCAGTGCAGCCGCGGAGCTGGCTGTTCAGTCACTCCCATCCTAAGCCATAGGTCAGAGGTTGTCCTGTCAGCTCCTGCAGGGTGCCTGGCTTTTTATGTTTTTGTTTTCTTTCTTCCTTTCAAGCCCTGAAATATGATAAATGGTTGTTCAGAGAAGCCAAGCACAAATGCTGTCTAGAGCAGTGGTTCTAAACGTTCATGGGCTTGCGAATCACCCGGGAATCATAGCAGGGAAGGCCAACGGCCCCGAGGTGCCCTTCGGGGGCAGCCGGCCGGGGACCGAGGACTCAGCAGCGGCACGAGGGGTGCGGGGCAGACCCTGCAGGGGTCTCCTTTCCTGGTCGCAGAGCTGGCCGTGTGGTAGAGTGCAGAGTGGCTGATGGGTTGGGGGGGCGAGGTTTATGAGAAACAGCCTCCCCAGAGGTGTTTTACCAGAATAAAGAGGAAACTAACATTGACTGAGTGTCTGCCATGGGCTTTGTAGCTTTCAGTGGGGAGTAATAGCAGATGTGCCTGTACAGGTCTGGGAACCAGAGAGCCTGGGATCAAATCCTGTTCCATCACCTACCCACGGGGTAATCGTAGGCATGTTATGTCTCCCAGCACAGGCCCCTTGCCTTTACCGTGGTCAGATGATAGTATCTACCTCCAGAATCATTTCATGTGAGTTAAATGAGATCCTATATATAAAAGCTTCCTTGGTGGCTCAGGTGGTAAAGAATCTGCGCAGTGCAGGAGACCCGGGTTTAGTCTCTGAGTCAGGAAGATCCCCTGGAGGAGGAAATGGGAACCCAGTCCAGTATCCTTGCCTGGGAAATCCTGTGGACAGAGGAGCCTGATGAGCTTCAATCCATCGGATCGCAAAGAGTCAGACACGACTGAGCAACTAACTCACTATTTGTAAAAGCACCTAGCATAGTGTTCGGCACATAGATGCTCAACAAATGCTCAGCGCTCTCATCGTCTTTATTCTCGGCAGCAGCAGCCTCTTCTCATGGGGTCCCAAAGCTAGGGATCCCGTCCCTGACCCTTCTCTCTACGCCCGGTCAGTGGGAGTCTTCCTTTCCACTGAAAGAACTGAAATTCTCTATGCCAGAGACCCTGGATGAGAAGTAGGTAAGGTTTCTTTGTTTAGCAAGAGGCTGTGAAATCTGAAAACAAAACAACTGAATGGAGGCAGGTACACAATGCCAGCCTCACTCTTTCATTCTCTGGTTTACACAACCACCTGGGCAAACCCTGGCCTGCAGCCTTGGGCCCCTGGAAGTGTGTTCACTCCCAGATGGAAAAGAAAGGAATCATCAGTGAGTCATTGCCTGGGGATACGGCGGGCTGAGGGCCAAGCATCTGCTTGTCTGTCTTTCTTCCCACCTCTGTCCCTCTCACTCTCTGTTTTGTCTTTTGTTTTTTGTTTTTTTCTGTTTGAAGAGTTAAAGATGAAGGTTGATTCTGGGAGGCTATGATTTTTTTCACATGCCTCAGAATTCTGTGGGCTTCCCAGATGGCGCTAATGGTAAAGAACCTGCCTACCAGTGCAGGAGACATGAGACATGAGTTTGATCCCTGGGAAGATCCCCTGGAGGAGGGCATGGCAACCCACTCCAGTATTCTTGCCTGGAGAATCCCATGGACAGAGGAATCTTTCTGGTGCCAATAGCAAGCTTGAAATCTGGGGTCAAAAAGGAGGATTCTGGGTTTGAACTAAGCCATTGAGAAGACTAATTAATTTTTCCGAGACTCAGTTTCTTTATCTTTTGAATACAAATGATAATGGGAGTATCTACTGAACCGTAAGTGATATGAGGGTAGGGATTGTATTATTTTTTAACTTATTTTGCTCTGAGTGTCATATCTGTGATATTTTCTACAGTGTTAGTATTCAGTAAGTATTTGATTGAATGCATACTGCTTGTCCTACTGAGTTATTCAGATTATTTATTGAGATACCATGTGTGAAAGCTAAGCTCAGTTTATTTCTGTTGTATGTTTATTTTTTCTTTTCTCACCTTAGATGTGCTCCTTAAAAAGAGAAGGGATAAAGAAAGGAAAGTGAAGGGAAGGGGATGCTGGAGAAAAAATAGAGAAGGAAACGGAGAGGTGGGGAAAGGAGGATTCCTGGGTTTGGAGAAGGCCAGCCTTTTCTCACCCCCAGGTCTGTGATTTCCCCTCAGGCCGTATGTCCTGAGTCTAGATTCCTCGTTTGCAGGATGGGAGTGAAAACGTTCATTTGCTGGTGCTATGTCTCCAAAGAGACATATTGGGGTGGCCAAAAAGTTACCTCGGATTTTTCTATACCCCCTTATGGAAAAACCCGACCCAACTTTTTGGTCAACCCAATACATTTGTAACCACAGCACCCAGACTTCCTGGCATGCCTGGGGTACAAAATGCCTTGAGATCTGAAGGCAGAGAGGATAAGAGAAGCAGAGAAACCAGAAAGAAGCACAGCATGAAGCAGGGAAAGCAAAAGGAGAGAAAAGGAGGAGATTGGAGTTTTTATTTCAAAATCCAGCCTGTTCTCACTGCTTTAGGCCAGTTAGAACTGATTGGACTTAGGCCTGAGAAGTCTTTGCATTTGGACATCACCTTATCGCTCAGCCTTCTTTGTAACTTGATGTGACTTGATGTGACTTGATGTGACTCAGGTGAAGTGGTTGGGGTCCAGAGAGGGTGATATATGTCTGGGATACATTCCCCAGGGGTCAGGGGGTGCACAGTGAACGTGGGGCCCCAGACCATGTCCCGCAAAGTTAAATGATGTTTCCCAGATCCTGTACTTTACAGACAGCTGACTGTCTTGATCCTGTGTGGGTTGGAGTTGGAGGCTGCCTCTGTCAATTGGCCCAGGTGGCAAACTGGCTGTGTGTCCAAAGAGACACAGCGTGAAAAAAGCATACCTGGAAAGTGTTGCTATTTAAAAAAATAGTATTTAATATTTTATAATGACATGTTCTTTTTTTAACAATTAAGGAAGTTGTGGGCATTCATTTTGAAAATTTTGGAAAAGGTAGAAAAGAACACCTATAAGCCCATCCGGAGATAATCCACTCTTGACTTTTTGATATATTTGCCTGCACATGCCTTTCTCTTTGATGAGGGTGGTGTAAAATTGGGGTATATTTTTTATTGTTTTCTAACTACTTAGTTTTCCCAAAATCCATCAGTTCAGTTTATTTCATTGACTGTCTATCACGTCCTGTACTGAGTGAAGTGAACTAGATTCTATTTCTGATTAGCATTTCTCAAGTCCCCGCAATTAAAAAGAATTTTCTTGGGAAATGTTAATTGCAATATTCTCCAACCTATTCTTGAATGCCCGAAGACTGAAATTTCCACAGATTGAGTTCTATGTCCCCTACTTTCTCATGGTCTTGCAAGACAAATTTATTCTGCCCTCTCGCCCCTCTTTGAGTAAGTATGAAAGCAGGAGAAAGCTAACTTTTGACTGTTTCTTTCCTACGTGTATTGTATGAAAAGAGGTTTTAGCAAGCTGGGGAGAGAAGTGGGGAGAGGGGTAAATGAGAAAGGAAGGGGAGGTAGGAAAGAGAGAGAGAGAAGGTGATGACAGTGGAGGCAGGAGGGCAGAAGAGCGAGAGGGCATCTGGTGGTGCTTCCCTTCAGGGTGGGACCTGCAGTATTGTCCATCTAGCTAATATTCATTGAATGCCACCCAAAGGCCAGTGTTGGGTAATAATCACGGCCCCCTGAACAAACCCTGGCCCTAATATATGGTCTCTCTGATCTCCCTTAAGTCTAAAAAGGACCCTTGATTCCTTTGGCCTTTGAATAGCACTCTTCATAAACTATTGGAGAAACTCAATATATCTTTTTTTTCTGTAATCCCTTTGCAACTCCCTGCAGCCAGGGTCAGACCCACTGAGCACCAAAGCCAGCACCGGGCCTGCTCTGTCTGAGGGCCCTGCCCTTGTTGGTGGATCTCCGTGAGGACCTTTCTCCCAGGGTAAAATGGGGCTCAGCGTTGGTAAGGAGCCTTCCCAGGGTACCTCTCTCCACACTGCGGGCACACAAAGAGGGGGTGGAACTGTCACCTCACCCCAAGATCCTGATGCCCTTCCCTTCACTTCTCTGGTGAGATTTGTTGAATTAAGACCCCCAGAGACAGACTAGATAGATAGATCAATTGATCCATCCATAGAGAGGGAGGTTGGGAGGGTGCATCTTGTAGTCACAGTTAATTGATTGATTGACTTATCCATTCATTCTAGAATTATTTATTGAAAAATAGATAAATGTGTGAGTGATGGATGCATTAATTAACTAGATGAGGGAAACTTTTTACAGTGTATAATTGTATCAAATCATGATGATTGTACCTTATATCTATTTTGTCTATACCTCTATAAAGTTGAAAAGAATAAAGTAATTCATTTAGAAAAAAAATAGTTATTGAATACCTACTCCAGTCATGCATCAGGTATTGATCTTGGCTCAGAGAATACTCAGATGAACCAAACAAACAATTTCTTGGTCCCACCAAGGCTTCAGAGACCACACCATACAGACAGACTGAAAGTAAAACGGAAATGTCCAGTTTTATTAAGTTCTATGCAGAGAGCAAACTTTGGAGGAGATGGTTAGGAGTGGGAGGAACCCTGCATCGGAGGCTGTGATGCTCAGAGAAGGCATCCAAGGTGACAGGAAGGTGGTGACCTTCAAGCTGAGTTCTGGTTCAGTGCTCTCACACTTTGACCTGGAGGGAATTCCCTGGGAAGTCTTGTTAAAAATGCAGATTCTGATTCAAAGGGCCAGTGGGGCTAAGACTTTACATTTCTGACAACTTCCCAGGCATGCTGACATGCTTTGATGTGGGCTAGACCAAACGTTGAGGAGCAAGGTTCTAAATGCCAGTGAAGGAAGAGGCAGCCCCACCCGGGAGGGTGATCACACCTTCCTGTGAGACGAGAGCTCTCCAGGCAGGGTGGAGAAGTGAGGGAGCTCTCACTCGGCCTGTTAGGAGCATGAGAAGCGAAGGAGCATGGCCGGAGAAAGTCCTGGCTGAGATCTGAGAGAGAAGCAGAAAAGAGCCAGGTCAGGTAGGGCTTGGCATGAAAGGCAGCGGGGATTCTGAAACGAATACTGCCATTAATCGTTTCCACTTGATCATTCTGTCTGTACATAGGAGCCTGTCTCCTGTGCTTCTCTCTGCAGTGTTACTGGGCATGAACCAAGCTCAGTCAACCTATCACAGATTTGTGTGGGACGGTCTGCAAAGAAAGCCTTTAAATAGCCCACTCTAGCATAGCTGCTGCTGAGTCACTTCAGTCGTGTCTGACTCTATGTGACCCCATAGATGGCACAGCTAGAATTTAGGCAAACACTTACACTCTGGAGTTTTAGAAGGGAAAATCTCTTAACGAAATGCCTTCTATCCCACAGATTTGAGGAAATGGCTTTTATTATTGCCAGGGTTTAGACACATGTAAACCAGCAGCACCAAAAGCAGACCAACAGAGAAAGCTCCAGGCCCTCGCCAACCCCCCTGCCCCGTGCAGAAGACTCTACTCCCCAAGTATGCTCTTACTGTAGTTGGTTTAAGAAAAATAAATATAAAAATCTGGCACCAACAGATCCCTTCCACCCTCCCTTTCCCACTGGACTCATGATTACTTTAGACTTCCTCTTGAAAAGAGAGAAGAGGACTGAAATGTCGAACCCAGCCATCACCCTCGAAGTGACTGGTCCAAAATTAGAGCAAAGAGAAAACCATCAATCACTCCCAGGTGACGACTCATGACCTGGCCATTAGCAGAGCCTCACCGTGATGTATTGTGTTTACATCCGACGCTGCGGCTCGACAGGCGGCCTTTAGTGGCGGGTTTCCTGCATTGTAAACCTCCTCCATATGTGAGAGCAGCTCCGTGTGCAGAGCCCTTCGCCTAAGTAATACAACCATGGGATGGTGACTGAGGTCAGCAGTGATGTGTCCAGAGCACCCTCTGTCCTCCGGCAGCCAGCTCCTCCCAGGGCTCCAGACCCCTCAGGTGGTTCTGTATTCAAGCCACTCTCCGGCTTGACCCACTCTGGACTCTGGCTCCGTTGCTTGTAGCAAGACCGACCAAGGGAAAGGGCCACAGTTTGGTCTGTCTGGGAGAAGTTTCAGCCTCACTGCAGAGAACACTCGGAGATGTAAAGGTGTGCATGTATGCATGCTCAGTCATGTCCGACTCTTTGTGACCCCACGGACTGTAGCCCGCGAGGCTCCTCCGTCCATGGGATTCTCTGCGCAAGAATACTGGAGTGGGTTGCATTTCCTTCTTCAGGAGATCTTCCTGACCCAGGGATTGAACTCGCGTCTCCTGCGCTGGCAGGCAGATTCTTTACCACTAGCACACCTGGGAAGCCTAGGAAGGTGTAAACTCTTCCCCTTAAAGAAGGCTCCCTCACAGGTCCAAACACACAGGAGCCAGGTTAGGACCTCCAAGCATGAAGACTTGAATCCTGGATTGCATCCTTAAGCCTGCTCCTTAGGAGATGGTCACAGGAAGGGGTGACGCTTGAGACTTTGTTACCTACCTCTCCAGCTGCTTCTTCCATCATAAGACAGGGCTGCTCACAGCACTTCCTTCATAGACTGTTTCAGGAGTAAATGAGCTATTATATGAAAAACTTTGGGAAGGTGTCTGGAATGTGAAAATACACATTTTATGAGAATATTATTACTAGCATTATTTGTGTCATTCCTGGCTTCAGACTACACAATCAGATTNTATTATATGAAAAACTTTGGGAAGGTGTCTGGAATGTGAAAATACACATTTTATGAGAATATTATTACTAGCATTATTTGTGTCATTCCTGGCTTCAAACTACACAGTCAGATTTAGTTCATTTGAGCACAAGAGAAGTGCATTAAAAACGGTATTAGCGAGGAACTTGCCGGTGGCCCAGTGGTTAGGACTTTGCCCTCCAACGCAGGGGTGCAGGTTTGCTCCCTGGTCAGAGAGCTAAGATTCCACATGCCTGCGGCCAGAAAACCAAAACATAAAAAGCAGAAGTAGTATTGCAACAAGTTCAATAAAGACTTAAAAAATATGATACTGGATGGCCTACCAACTTGCTCAGAGAGAGATGGAAAAGGAGACCTGGAGACCTCCTGCTCAGGAATAGCACCCCAGGCTGCCCTGGGTACTCGCCCTTGAGGAGAACCCTGCTATCTGCACTACGCTCTGGAGATTAATGGTGCACACCACTGCCTGCTCCGGCTGCCACTGCCCCAGAACCGCCTCTTGCTCANCCTGCTCAGGAATAGCACCCCAGGCTGCCCTGGGTACTTGCCCTTGAGGAGAACCCTGCTATCTGCACTACGCTCTGGAGATTAATGGTGCACACCACTGCCTGCTCCGGCTGCCACTGCCCCAGAACCGCCTCTTGCTCAGCCTCTGAAAAGGATTCCTCCAAATTCCCTTTCTTTGAGGAACCCACTCCTTTTCCTGTGGATCTGCTCTGCTTGGTAGAGTCTCAATGGTCTGTCTCTGTTACTACTGCCAGGGCACCTAGGAAGCCAGGGTCTTGCACTGTCTGGTTTTGCTATAGAAACAGGCTTTGCATCCCAAGACTCAGAATTCAGAGAATTCCCCAAATATTGGAAGGAAGGGGTGTGTGTACAGTCAGGCTTCTGCATGGTGGTGACTGGTGTATATACAAGCCTCACCTCCTTTTAGTGTGTTAGTGCTTCTGGAAGGACCAGACAATTAAGGAATTGAGTTCTCCCTCCCCGCCCCCCACCAAGCCCCAAGGAGAAACCAAGTGACGGGGGAGTGGAGGGAGCAGTGTAAGAAAAGGAGCATGAAGATAAAGGCCTCGCGATGGGATGTGAGGTATCCAGTCTGAAGGGTAAATTTCCAGTGCTCTCCCTGCTCCCTGCAAGGCGTGCACAGTTACCAGTAAACGTTTAATGAATGTGCTATAATTACTGGATGAGCCCTATAGCCACCTGAAGCCACAAGTGAGTTCCAGGTAGGCTGGGGTCTGCCGTGGAAGCTGCTGGCATTTCAGCAAGTGGCCGGTGCCCTTTACTGGACCATTTAGGGCTGCTGGGAACACAGGCCTGCTAAGCAAGGGGGGGAGGGTGCTGGAGGCTGAGCATGGCCAGAGGCAGCAGAAAGAACCTCCCGATGCTCGGACCAGGGCTGGGCGTGAGGTTGCCCAAGGGATTCTTCTGGCCACTGAGCCAGCTGTGTAGATGATCTGGTGTGAGTTCTGTCTTCTCTGGCTAGTACCCCTTGGCTCTGGACTGACCCCTGAAGTCTAGAAACATCCCTAACTCTCTCCCTGGGTGGCTATGTCAGGATGATAAAGCCTCTCCAGACAAGCTAGACCCAGCACAGTGGCTCTGTTTGATCCATTGGAGACTCTTTAGCCTTCAATAAGTCACATCATCATTCGTACTCACCTTTCATCACAGCCCCTTTGGAGCTGGAGAGACCTGATATGAATAATGAAAGGGATGATTTTATACACAGACGTACCTGTCTTAAGTCATTTGCTCCTCTCAAGGGCCAGCAGATATTTACCAACCTTGTTTGCTAGATGAGGGAGGCAAGTGGGGTTCAGAAAGCTTCTGTGACCTCTTCAGGGTCACACAGCAGCAGAAGAGGGCTGATCTCAGGCTTCCTGTCCCCTGATGCAGGGCCAGGGTGATCATCTCTCTCCTTGTCTGGAGATCCGTCTGTGTTGGAGGTAGAGCACAGTGCTTGACAGCCCTGGGGCTGGATGTAGCCTGCCCAGGATGCTGTCAGGATGAAAGAGCATGATGCACGCGAAACACTTAGCACAGGGTCACATGGCAGCTCGCGGTCATGTTCTTATTTTTCATGTTTGTCGTTATCCTCTGGCTCATGTCTGGACCTACCGCCACAATGCTAGCACCAGCAAACGTCCCCTCTGTCTGGGTTCACGAGGGAGCCGTCTTCTTCTCCCCTCACTTGCTTTCTGGGGTCTGCGGGTAGTGATTCTCATACCTGTTAATAAAGAACTCTGGAAATCAAAACTGAGTTATTGTTCTAGTCCCAACTCAAGCCAACTTAGACCCAAGAAACATCAAGGGGAAGGCTTCTGTTCCCTTCCCAAGACATTCTGTTCCCTTCCCAAGACATTCTGAGAGCCTTGCACCTGCACCCCACCTTCCTTTTCTAGCCATCACGACCCCATGCCTCTCCTCCACCTGCCCCATCCCACCTACCCTCCCGACAGCTCACACAAGGAACCGAGAAGGCAGGGTGGCTGTTCCCTGAACGAGAGACGGAGCCAGTCCTGGTGCTAACTCAAGAACTCAAGACCTTCCTGCTGGAAAGAGAGGAGGGGGGCAGTTTCCGCTGCAGTCGCAATCCTGGATCAGCCCCAGCACTGACTCGCCATCAAAGGGCACAGAAGGTCCTAGAGGGATGCAGCTTCATGAGGGGACCTTGGGCTGGAGAAAAGAGTGGGCAAAGCCCCTTCACATGCCCTTCCCTGGCACAGTCCTGTCTCTCTGTGCCCCCCACAACAACAGTCAGTGTTTTATGAACTTCCTTTTCCTTGAAGTCTCTTTCTCCTCTCTTGTGTTACGCAGAATAAGAGAATTGAATTAAACTCTGCATTTCTTCTGCTGCTACTTCTTCGATTGTGCAGAAATGATTTTACCTGTTGCTTCTGCTTATGAAAAAGAAGGAAGACAAGCACATTCCCTGGTTTTGCATCAGCTACATGGGCCCCCATCAGGGACTGAACCTAACCCAGCGCCTTCTATGTGATTCGGTAACAAAGACTTCTGGATCATAACGGCCACATGTATCAAGAACTCCCCGTGTGCCACCACCAGTGATAAGTCTCAATACACATCTCATATTAGCCTCCCTGTAAGCTGATGTCCCTTCCAAGCTGCATTTTACACATGGGGAAACTGAGGCTTAAGGCAGTGAAGTAGCTTGCCCAAAAAATCCTGAAGGCAAGATTCAAACCCAGCAGGCTAGCTCCTGAGCCCAAGTACCTAACTGCTCTGCATGCTTCTTTTTATGGAAGGGGCTAATGATGCTGAAGGGGCCTCAGCAGTATGGGATTCTAGAAAGTTTGTAAAGTCAGTTCAGAAGCTAGGGCATTAGGCTTCTTTTGGAAGAAAAAGTAGAAAGCAGGTCTGGATGCATGTTGGGAGACCTGGCATGATGGCATTCAGGCGATGGATGTGGGAACTCAAGTGATGAATCTGGCCTTTGCATCTTTAAACACCTTAGAAGGTCAGATTAGCACAGAAACCCCAATGCTGAACTGAACACTTGGTCCTCCAGTTGGCAAACATTAGCTGGTTGAAATACTTCCTGATGGAAATACCGATAACATGCCGAGAAAAATCCAGGCTTGCTTCTAAAGGTCATCTCAACCAATGGAGCAATTAGTTCAAGTTTGCCTTTTGCTTTGCCCTGGTGAGAGTTGTAGCCGAAACTGCAAATTTTCATGCTCTTTGCAACATATGGTCAGTGACAGGAGGCAACCTGTGATTAGACTTGATATAGAATGTGCGGTGATGAAAAATTTCTTTTCATGTGGGCCAGAGCAGGGTCCGAGAGTCAAAGGGTGCGGAGTGACAGGGAGCAGGCTCTCCTACTGCAGCCTCTTCAGTCCGTTGCATGGATTACTCCCCTGGGCACTTGCCTCCCAGATATGCCATCTGAATGGATATATCACAAGCCCCCGAATATTACCCTGTTGAAACTCCTAAAGCCCCCTCTCTCTTCCATGTTACCTTCAGCCAGCACCCTAGGAATCTGCTGCAGTCTTTCCTCTTACCCAGCATCTGGTAAGACTTGTCTGCCTCCCTATGCGCTCTTTTCCTTTCCCTGCCTTTTCTGTTCCAACTGCTGCTGCCCTCATGAACATCCCATGCCCTTCCACCTGACCTGTCTACATCCCACCTTCCTATGCCTCCTATGTACCCAGGTGGAATGACCCTTCTAGAACCTGCATTTGACCTTGACTTCAGTCAGTGCAGTTCAGTTCAGTTCACTTGTTCAGTCACTCAGTNAAATCTGCCCAAATTCCCCACTGCTCTCGGAATATAGCCCAAACTCTTCCATGGACTAGACTGGTCCCTGCTTGCTTCTCTGTCCTCCTGTGTTACACACCCTCCATACTCCCCCTGACACTTTTTTTTTCATTTCACTCTGTCTCTCTGTGCGTCTGCCTCCTCACCCTTTCCCTTTCCCTCCCCCTCACCCCCTTCTCCTATTGCCAAACCCCAAAGAGGCCACACATTTTGCATGCTATATTGCCTCCATCTGTAATAATCTTGCCACATGTAGCGTGTGCTCAGCCTCCAATAGTAGTTCGATGTCTTCCTCCCAGGATTCCCAGCCCTCTGGGGTCACTCCTACAGTCTGTGTTCCTCAGGAACTGTGAGCACAGGCTCTGTTCCTCTGGTGCACTGCAGGGGACCTGGTACACGATAAATGCTAAAAGGAGCCAGTGGCCGCTGAATGAGCCTTCACTCACTGCTCACCCTCTGACTGTGGTCCCGGGGTGACTCTGATCGCACACCCCCTGCCTGTGCCCTCTGGGTCCCCGTGGCAGTGCCTCTTCTCACCCATCCCCTGTGGGCTGCTGGTCACGCCTCTGCCGCTCGTTCTTGTAGGGGCATCTGAAGATAGCCCCCGCCATGATGGGTGGTCTCTGGAGCTGGGCTTGCATTCACCTTCCGTCTCTGACTCCAAGGATCTATATGCCTCTTTTGGAAAAAAAAGAAAAACAAATTATCGGAGTATAGTTGTCTACAGTGTTGTGTTAGTTCCAGGTGTGCGGCAAGCTGAATCAGATTCTTTTCCCCCATAAGCCATTGCAGAGCATTGAGTAGAGTTCCCTGTGCCCCACACTACGTCCCTCTTGTTCACACCTCCTGATATGTACCTCTTCTGTCCATGGGGGATAGAAATTGTCACTCCCTGTAAGCTGATAGTGAGGATTCATTGAGACAATTTTCATGAAGTGTATAGTCAATCTCTCACCCGTCAGCAAAGGGTAACTGCCGCTCCTGTTATTTCTTATCCATGCCTTCTACTCCGTGGCAGTAAAATTTCTGAGTGCATGCATGCTGAGTTGCTTCAGTTTCGACTCTTTGCAAGTCAGTGACCGTAGCCTGCCAGGGCCCTCTGTCCATTGGATTCTCCAGGCAAGAATACTGGAGTGGGTTGCCATGCCCTCCTCCAGGGGATCTTCTTGACCCAAGGGTTGAACCCGTGTCTGCTGCACTGCCAGGCAGGTTCTTTACCCCTAGCACCACCTGAAAGAGTTTCTGCCTATCCACTTATTTCTCCTGTTTGTTATGAAAAAAACCCAGCAAGCTTATTAATCGAAATTGAACTGTCCCTGAGCCATTGCTATTTCAGAAGGTAATCTTTTCCTTTGAGATCTTAAGAAAAGGATTCTGCACTCTTCTTCTGAGGCTTTTCCAGTTTAGATGTTTGATAGAATCCCCATAATAAATAGAGTGAAAGCACTGGTGGCGAGGCTTCTCCCGCCTGGCGGGCCGTGTCTGTACTGTGCGCGAGTGCACATACCCAGGCGTGCTCTGCCATCCAGGCTCCTCACTGCCCGTCTCACTGAGCATCTAAGTATCTAGACCTTGTTGCTTTAGGCATTTGAAGAGTGACTGTTGCTTAACAAGGGACGCTGTAAGATACCAGGAGCTTCACGTGGGCACGACCTGTGAAACTTGCCAGGACGTTGCCTCTCTGAGGGTCTTGTTGGGAGCACTGTGTTTTGGAAGCTCACCAAAGCAATTCCACTCAGTCCTTGGTGGCCCAGAAGTACTCTACAGAATGATTGCCATCTTTTGACCTTTTGTACCTCTCTTTGCATTGGCTGCTAGGAAGCTCAGAGTATAACTTACAGCTCCCTTAAACAAGTCCCTTGGATGATCAATATCTGACTTTACCTCAGGTTTCATCTCAGTGGCCTACCTTATTTTCCTTCTACTTTAGTCTCTTTACCTTAGCACCAACTCAGTGCCTGACCCATAGTAAAGAATTATTAACCCCAGTCTAATTTCCAAAGACTATTACCCCCTTTTTGAGAAGATGGCAAAATATAAATGAAGAAACATTATTAACATTTCTTTCTGTTTCCCTCTCTTTTTTCCTCCTTTATTGTTTCTTGTCTTAAAGCATAGTGAGAGTTCCCTTAAAGCAGAATTTATTGTACTTTTATAGCCGAACAGGGAATAGTCTTTACCAGCTCTGCTGGTGGAAAATTTCCAAGCTGCACAGTCCACTAGTTTATATTACCTAATAGAGAGATAAATAAGCCATGATTCTTCTTAAGGACTGGCTTTTAATTAGATTTTTAATGGATCCTCTTTGACTTTCCCAGGCATAAGTACTGCTGTATTAGTTCATTATTGTGATTAAAAGCAGCTAATAATGATCATAACTAAATAATTTCCCTCAAGTGTTCCAGTCTAGTTCAATGCCCCGTGTGTTGGCAGTGCTGTAGCTGGCCTCAGCCTCAGGCTTTTTCTCTGCAGCACACAGCAGACCTGCCGTTTTGTTTTGGAGGCTGGGGCGCCTGCAGACACAGGAAAGCACTGCATACAGTGCACACTATCTCTCAGAGCTCATATCTTTGGATTTTATGGAGTGCTACCCACATCACCCTCCACGGCCTTCTTCTTGATGAAAGAGGCTTCTGGAAGCTAACCCAACTAACCCAACTGGAATATTTCCCTGGGCATATTTGCATCTCTAGCTGGGATGTAAGTTGGGAAGCCCAACTACCTGGAGCTATGTGAATTTGCAAATGGCAGACTGAGAGACTCGTCCGTGTGGGCCGCTGGGCTGAGCATTGAGACCTGCAGCACCCTCCCTCTGCGTGCGGGCTCTTTCTCCTGAGCTGGGGGGTGAGCTGTCCCTGTCTGTTATGTGGAACCTCATTGCCTATGTAGGGTAATTAGTCTTCATTCTTTGTTCTTATTGTTCAATCTCTAAGCCGTGTCCAACTCTTTGTGACCCCATGCACTGCAGCACACCAGGCTCCTCTGTCCTTCACTATCTCCTGGAGTTTGCTCAAACTCATATCCATTGAGTCAGTGATGCTATCTAACATAGCATCTCCTTTTGCCTTCAGTCTTTTCCAGCATCAGGGTCTTTTCCACTGAGTCAGCTCTTCACATCAGGTGGCCAATTATTGGAGCTTCAGTAACAGTCCTTCCAATGAATATTCAGGGTTGATTTCCTCTAGGATTGACTAGTTTGATCTCCTTGCAGTCCAAAGGACTCTCAAGAGTCTTCTCCAGTACCACAATTTGTTTGAAAGCATCAATTCTTTGGCACTCAGCCTTCTTTATGGCCAACTCTTGCATCCATACATGCCTACTGGGAAGACCATAGCTCTGACTAAACGGATCTTTGTTGGCAAAGTGATGTCTCTGATTTATAATATGTTATCTAGGTTTGTTATAGCTTTCCTTCTAAGGAGCGAGCGTCTTTTCATTTCATGACTGCAATCACTGTTTAGTCTTTACCTTTCTAAAAATATGTGTATTTTAAAAACAAAGGTGTGGTCACTGTGGAAATTTTTGAAAATGCCTTGAAGGAGCAGAATAACAGCCATTATTTGTTTTACTATTAATATTGCATGTTTGTTCTTCTTATATTTTTATAGGGATATATTTATCTCTGCTTTCTTTTTCTTCAGAAATGGCTTCATGTTGTTACCTTAGCAATATATCATGAACATTTTCCCATGTCACTAAACCATCTTCTACCAAATCACTTTTTAAGGGCTGCAAAGTATGTCATTAAACAGATGTGCCATAAATTATTAATCTCTGCCACTTGTTGAATGTTTGAGTTACTTTTAAGCTTATATTATTGTAAGTAACACTGCAATTAATATCCTTTTTGAAGTATACTTGATTACTTCCTTGAACAAAAATTTTAGATGTTGGTCAAAGGGAATGGAGAATTTTAATGCTTGTATTAATGTTCTCTACACTGAGAATTATCATGTTTATGATTAATATTCTTTTCTAGGTTTCAAGGCCCAGAGAACAGTAGTTGATTTTTTTTTCCTGCTTTCTTTTTTTTTTCTATTTATTTTTATTAGTTGGTTTAATTTGAGCTTGTTTTGTTTCCATACAATCCAGGTTGAAAGCTTGAATGTTTTTTCATGCATGTTTTGGTCATTTGCATTTATTTTGTGAGCTGTCTCTTCTTGTCCTTTCTGCATCTTGTGCTGTGATGTTAACACTGATGCTATTATCTCCTGAGGGCTCAGAGCACCTGATTCACCAGAAATGAAAAGGAGCCGCATGGCTCTGCTGCTACACACCAAAGGCGAGGACAGCATGGCCTCTGGGCTCGCTGTTAGGGAAAGTATAGTGGTACCACTGCATCCAAGTCTAGCAAAGTGTGCATAGCACCTTCCAGACCACCCAAAAATATTTAAAAATTTATTGCCAATTCTGGGGTCATTAACGTTAGACCATGTTTCAGTCCTGACTCTGCCAGTCTTTGTGAACTTAGGCCACGTTGCCTCATCTCTCTGAGCTTTAGTTTTCTCATCTGTCAAGTGGGATAATGACCCCTGTCTCACAAAGTGTTGTCTAGTAGCCAGTGTGATATGGCTTATAAGACATAGTGCTTAGCACAAAGATGGTACCTTTGAGAGATGCCATTATTATCATTATCATCACTTAAAGGACTGCAGTGTCGGGTTTTCTGCTGCAACATGTCATTTTCAAATAGCCTTGATGTAACCCTTGGGACCTCCCTCAACCTGTCTCTGTCACTCTGCTGAGGGCGCCGAGCGGGGATGGGTACATGCTGTGATAGAAGGTCTTCCAGCTCCCATGGGCTGGGCCTGCTTGGAAATTTGCAGATACCCCACCTCCCTCCTGACCCACAGTGCTGTGGGAATAGAAGTGCTCCCAGGACTCAAGGACACCTTGGGGAGGATGACTTGGCCTCCACATGCCCTAGCAATAAGTGGGATGTCTGATGTGGTCAGGTCAAAGGTCAAGACAAATGTCAAGTCAAAAAGAATCACTGTGGTGGTCAGGCTCCTCTAATTCATTCCCGAGGGACATGGGCTTAGCACTTCTGGGGACACCGGCACATTGGCTCAACTCTGCAAGCACTTCAGAGGGGCCACCCAAGTGGAGGGAGGGGCTGAAGACCCCACTGTGACCCCTGGACCCTGCTCCATGTGTCAGCTTCTGCATCATCCATTGGGACAGAGGAGGCAGCATTTCTTCTGATGCTTTTGATTCCAGCATCCTGTATGCCACAGTGTAAAGAGTAGCTGCTCTAAAGGCCGGTGCTGAACGTTGTCTGGTCATCCCAGAGATGACGTGAGTGTGTTTGGAGCTAGCTCAGAGAGACATTCATCTTCCTTCTCTAGAACACCTGCGACTCTCTAAGGATCCTCTTGGAGCACTTTGGGTACAATCTACAAGTGGGTCTCCCTGGTGGCTCAGCTGGTAAAGAATCCGCCTGCAATGCAGGAGACCCCAGTTTGATTCCTGGGTCGGGAAGACCCCCTGGGGAAGGGATAAGCTACCCACTCCAGGATTCTTGGGCTCTCCTGGTGGCTCAGCTGGTAAAGAATCCGCCTGCAATGCATTAGACCCCAGTTTGATTCCTGGGTCGGGAAGACCCCCTGGGGAAGGGATAGGCTACCCACTCCAGGATTCTGGCCTGGAGAATTCCATGGACTGTATAGTCCATGGGG